AGGAAAATATTTTCTTTAGAGTCAGACAGCAATTCCGTATTATTTTGAGCATGATGAAGAAGCAGAGGTTGTGGGAACCATGGAATGAACCCACCTTGTTGAGAAGTCTGTGCTTGGATGGGATCCACTAAGGGAGTGAATTTGTACCATAAAGAGACTCCTGTGAACATGGGCCAGCCTTTGGACCACCTCACCTGCTCCTACCAGGTTCCTAGAAAACAACTGAGAATGAAAGCATTCCTTCCCAACTGTGCTCATCACAGGACTGGCTCCCGAGCCTCCCCGGCCAGACCAACAGCTAAGTGGGCTCAGCCCAGCCCCATCAGGCAGGAACCCAGTCCTGCTTTTGGAAATCCTCAACAAACTTGGAAGAGAGATATATGCCCCCACTCTGTGAAGACTCTGTTTCTGAACTTGGGGGGTGGGGGTGAATTAGAATGCATGATAACAGAGATTTCCGGGCCCCACCCAAGGGGACTCGACAATGTGTGAAAGAGTACATTGGACTTGTGTAAAAGCCCCACCTGCCAAGTGATGATTCCACTTACCCTCGTGGTGGACAATTTTGAGTTCAATGGGAAAAGGCAGGACGTCAGGTGACATTTGCCTGCCAACTTTAACCAGTCGGAACCTGAGTGTAGGCGGGAAGGAAGAAGAAAAGAGGAGAAAAGAGCATCCTACAAGTGCATGACTCGGAAGTGGGCTCCCCAGAGCAGGGCCCTGGCTAACCTCAGGACCACAGTCAAAGATGCTGGGACCGGGGTGAGTCACGTGATTCAATCTGATCAGATTTCTTCTCTGGACAATGTTTCCTAGCTGTCGGCTTCTTCAGGGATCAATGTAGAAGCTGCAGGGTGTTCATTTCCAACTTGCCTGCTTGTGGCTCCGTCCCTCTTCCCAGAGCCTTTCAGTGGCCCAAATGTCACCGATCTGCCTCTCCCTCAATCACCTCGGTCCGAAGCATTCCTTCAGCCTTGGGCCTTCCGTTAAGAGATGCAGGTGGCACTGTAAACACACTCTCTCCCGGGGTGTCCTGAGAGTCAAGGCCTCTTTTCTTCATTGTTGGTGTCATGGCCTCGTTCTGACTTTTTTTTTCTTGTCATCTCCCTGGGTGATTGTGGACATCCCTTCACCTCGCTGAAAAAGCAGAGGTCAGGGGTCCAAACTTGAACACCGCAGGTCATGTCAGCGAGCGAAGAGAGACAGGCGTGAGGGAAAAGCAGATGGGGAGTACCGTGGGAAATTAGGAGCACCTGGCTTTGTACAGGTGTAAAGTACCCCTTGGGGGCGCTGTGCACTGCACAGGGGCCAAGCTTCCCATCATCAACCTAGACCTTCTCATTCCAGAATCCTGGAAGATCCCCCCTAGAATCTAGGGCAGCAGTTCCCAACCTGTGGGTCGCAACCCTTTCACAGGGGTCGCCTAAGACCATCCGAAAACACATATTGCTGATGGTCTTCGGAACTGAGACACCACTTCTCTGTCTCCAGGCAGACATGCCCACACACGAGTACCCGGCGTGAAGACCGTTACCCATGCTACAACATGCTTCAAGACAAATTTTCATTGATTTGTCATTAGAACTAAATATTTCACAAGATAGAGTAACAGTGTTTTTGTGATGAATCACTATGCTTTCCTGATGTTCAGTTTGTAACATCCTGCCTACCCGATATTTCCATGGTGATTCATAAGAGTAGCAAAGGGACAGTGATGAAGCAGCAACAGAAGTAATGTTATGGTTGGGGGGTCCCCACCACATGAGGACCTGTGTGAAAGGGTTATGGCATGGGGGAGGTTGAGAACCACTGCTGCTCTAGGGGGTCGTGAGCCTTCTCATTTGCACCCTGGTGCTCAGCGGGTGGGCTGGCTGCCGGGGGGCAGGAGGGGGGCAGGGGGGAGGCTAGTTACCCTGCAGGAATGAACTGAATGAGAGCTCAGGGTGCCCAGGTCTGCTGGATTTTCTTGTTCTTGCCCTTGTTATGGATGGCAGGTTTTGTTTTGTTTGGGTTTTTGTCCCTAAGAAGCTGAAAATAGGGTTTTCAGTTGCCCCATTTTAAAAATTAACTGCTAGTGAATTCCAAGGCATGGTTAACATCATGTGTATTAAACAAAACACCTTTTTAAAATTAAGAGATGAATTTTTAATCTTTTAATCAATTAGTTTTTAATCTTTTAATTAAAAGATTAATACTGGGGGCTCTTACGGCTCTTACAACAATCCTTACGTCAATTGTATCAAGCGCAGTTGTACGTAGGTCGCCATCATTATTTTCTAAACACTTACTTTTGATTCGAGCCCTTAGTATCAGCTCCTCTATTTTCCCTGCCCCCCCTGTGACCCTTTAATAAATTATAAACTATTATTATTTTCGCATTTTGCAATGACCTGCTGTCTCCCTTCCTCCATGGCTTCTGCCGCTCGTCCCCCCGGGTAGGGGGTGTGATGCTGATGTGTCGATCATGGAAATCAGTCCCTCTTCTTCCCTCCGCTTCCCACCTTCCCCCACTTTCCTGGTATCACAGCTCCCACTCCTGTTCCTGGATTCCGTCTGTCCTGAGCCCTTATCTCTTATCTGTCCCTGTGCCATGCTCCGGTCTAGCCTGAAGTGAAAGGCAGGACTGGAGTCATGATAGTAGGAGTGAGGAAGCTTCAAGGAACCAGAGGAATATTGTGTTTCATCAGTGCTATACTGAACGCTGG